TAGTGTTTTGCTCAAAGGCATTGGAGACGGCTTTGTGGAGGCACCCCTTCATGTGGTAGACTTGAAGTCAGACCTTGTTTCTGGTATGGTGAAGATGGCAGTTAGACCATCACTTCCTGTGGAAGAGGTATCCATCATATTAGGTAATGATCTCGCTGGTGATAGAGTCGTGTCATGTCCAGTAGTAAGTTCGAGTCCTTGTAAAAGTTCTGAGACAGATGAGTTGGTTGCAGAATCTTCTGTAGTGTTCCCAGCATGTGCTGTAACTCGTTCAAAGGCTAAGAAAGTTGAGTCAGAGAAGAAGTCTAATGAAATAGATGTTGACTTAGGAGATTCTTTCTTTTGTCGTTTGGTTGAGGATGAGTCTGATTCCAATGTGAATGAGAGTGCGAGAGAGGTTCATAGCATAGGAAATAGTGAAAAATCTGAACCACTATCTTTGAAAAAGAGTAAGTTGCTAAAGGAGCAACAGACAGATCCTCAGTTGATTTCTTTGAATGAGAGAGCTGTTTCTGAGGAAGAGGCATTGACTGTGCCTGTTTGTTATTACAAGAAAGCAGGTGTGCTAATGAGAAAGTGGAGGCCAGCAGATGTCCCTGCAGATGAGGTGTGGAAAGAAGTCCACCAAATTGTAGTCCCTTCTACATACCGGCAGGACATAATTAGCCTTGCTCATGAAGCTCCACTTGCAGGTCATTTAGGGGTTCACAAACCCAGGAGAAAATTCTTTCTCATTTCTTTTGGCCAGGTGTGTAAAAAGATGTTGCAAATTTTTGCAGAAGTTGGCACGCATGTCAAGTTGTAGGTAAACCGAATCAGAAAATACTGGCAGCACCATTGAAGCCAATTATACCGGCGTTCGATGAGCCATTTTCTAGGATCATAGTAGATTGTGTAGGTCCTCTGCCAAATACTAAGGCAGGTAATGAATACTTATTGACGATAATGTGCGCTGCGACGAGATATACCGAAGCAGTACCACTGCGGCGCATTACAGCGAATAATGTGACAAAGGCGTTAGTGAAATTTTTCACTACTGTACGGCTACCAAAAACTGTACAATCTGATCAAGGGTCAAATTTCATGTCTAGGGTGTTCAATCAGGTGTCCCAGGGAGCACTGGAGAGATTCCACCAGACTTTGAAGAATATGTTGAAAACTTATTGTATGGAGTCAGAGAAACAATGGGATGAGGGAGTTCCCTTGTTATTGTTTGCTGTGCGGGATGCTGTACAAGAGTCGCTTGGTTTCAGTTCTTTTGAGTTGGTATACGGTCACTCAGTACGTGGACCATTGAAGTTGCTAAAAGAGAGACTGTTGTGTGATGATTCACAAACAAATGTGTTGGAGTATGTGAGTACTTTCCGTGAGAGAATGCATAAGGCGTGGGAGGTTGCCAGACAGAATTTGTCAGATTCTCAGGAGAAGATGAAGTCATGGTATGACAGGAAATCCAAAGAGAGGAATTTCGAGGTAGGAGATGAAGTCTTGGTCTTACTGCCGATAGTTGGTCATTCTCTGCAGGCTAGATTTTCTGGGCCGTACACTATTGCTAAGAGAGTTGGTGATGTCGACTACGTTGTCAATACTCCAGATAGGCAGAAGAAGAGACGTGTGTGTCATGTGAATATGCTTAAGCCATATATCCGAAGAGGTGACGAGAGTAAAGCACAACCAGTGTTAAGTGCTGTTGAATGTGACTCAAAGTGTGAAGTTGAGAAAGAAGTGTGCAAAATTGAGAGAGATAACCCATGTGTGAAATTAAAAAAATCAGAGGTTCTAGCACACATCGATAACAAATTAACACACTTATCTGTGAAGGAGAGGAGTGATGTGAAAGAGCTGTTGAGTGAATATCCACAGTTATTTGCTGATGTTCCCTCTCGAACTGATGTTGTTGAGCATGATGTTGATGTGGGAGATAAAACCCCAATCAAACAGGCACCATATCGTGCAAACCCGACAAAACTGAAAAATCTTGAAAAGGAAATCGAATACATGCTACAGAACGGCATTGTCGAGCCAAGTAGTAGTGCATGGTCTTCTCCTTGCATCCTCGTTCCGAAACCGGATAAATCCAATCGTTTCTGTACGGATTACAGAAAAGTAAACGCGTGCACGAAGACAGATTCTTTTCCGATTCCGCGAATAGATGATTGCATAGACCGTATAGGCAAAGCAAAGTATGTGAGCAAATTTGATCTCTTAAAGGGATACTGGCAAATCCCTTTGACAAAAAGAGCACAAGAGATCTCTGCGTTTTCTACTCCGCAAGGCCTTTTCCAATACACAGTGATGCCTTTTGGCATGAAAAATGCGCCTGCGACATTCCAAAGACTTGTGAATAATCTTATAGCGAATATGGCAGGTTGCGAAGCATACATAGATGACATAATCGTGTATAGTGAGGAGTGGGATGAGCACGTACAGAGAATCAGAGAGTTGTTTGAAAGGTTGTCCATTGCCAAAATGACAGTCAACTTGGCAAAGAGCGAGTTTGCAGGGGCAACTGTCCTTTTCCTTGGGCATGTTGTTGGTTCGGGTCAAGTACGGCCAATCTCGGCGAAGGTCGATTCCATCCTGGCTTTCCCGATTCCAACCAACCGGAAGGAATTGATGCGGTTCCTGGGCATGGCAGGCTATTATAGAAGATTCTGCCATAACTTCTCCGATGTTGTAACTCCCCTAACCAATCTGCTGCGCAAGCAGGTGACGTTTGTCTGGTCTGACGACTGCGAGAGTGCTTTCAACCAGGCGAAAGCCCTCTTATCTACCAATCCGGTACTGATGGCTCCGGATTTCAACCAGCCGTTCAGCATGATGGTGGACGCGAGTGATGTAGGTGCTGGTGCAGTTCTTACTCAAGCAGACGCTGAAGGTATCGACAGACCCATATCATTCTTCTCAAAGAAATTCAGTGCAAGTCAGAAGAACTATTCTACTGTCGAAAAAGAAACATTGGCTTTGATACTTGCACTTGAACATTTTGACGTGTATGTCAGTGGATCTCAACATCCAGTCAGGGTACTAACTGATCATAACCCCCTGACATTCCTCAACAGAATGAAAAACAAGAACCAAAGACTGACGCAATGGAGTTTGCTGCTCCAAGAATACAACTTGGACATTCTACATGTGCCAGGAAAGGACAATGTTATTGCGGACGCTTTATCTCGTGTGTGATAATGGACAAAAGTGAGCAACCCTTGTGTGAACCATATTTCGTGAACAGTTGAACACTTACAGTGAAGCATCATACTTGAACAGTTGAACTTAGGTGAATTCATTGGAATACTATGTGAGAAAGGGAACCAGAACTTTTAACTTTGATGGGTTCTTTAATAATCACAAAGCATTGTGAACATAGACCGATTGGACTCATTGAAACTGTTTATTGGACTCACAGAAAAATGTATTTTTCTTATGTTTGCTTTCCAGATGTCTGTAAACCAGTGTATATATGTATGTGATATGCTTATCGTATTCGTTGACGAATTTGAACATGCATGATAATATTATTGTGCTAAAACCCTTTTGGTACAAACACAAGGAACTAGAAAGCCTAGTGAGTCATCATTTTGTCTGTGCATGTTTATTTATAAAAACAGAAACAGTAAATTGATTTATATGTTTTATCCAAGGCAGGATAAATATATTAAAAGAAGGAACTTTGGAACAAAAAGTATTTTGGTGTTTTACCATATTTTTGGTTATGGATATAAAGTAATCAAAGTTATTCTTGAAAATATTCAATACTCAACCAACACAGATGATATGGTTTTACACTACAATGCAAAACTTCAGATTAATAGTAACATGTTTCTACAACTGACGTGAAGGCTATATTATATTATCTTTCAGACAGGTTTAATGTTGCTGAAGTTTGTTTAGTATTATTTTTATGCAAAGAAATATGTTTCGATTCAAACTTGCGAAGAAGCATGAAGTCATATTAATATTGATAGGTCATTTAAGGTGAACTTCTTTGCGATTTGAATTGTATTTTGTTTTATGTTAAGTACAAATGACTTCTGATATATGCAAAAGTCAGCGATGAAGTTGATAGAGCAGGATGATAAAAGAATGGTTAATGTTTTTACTTATAGCTGTTCATACTCAATGTTATTGTATGAACAGAAACCACTAGACAACGCTGTGATACCATTTGCATGCTGGTACTGTATAGTTTTACAAGCTGACTTGTTTATCAGATTTCTAAATCTACAAAGACCTCATACTTATAAATACTTTCGGTTTTTGTATTCTGACAGCAGTTGCTGAAACAACATTGAAAAAGAAATGTTTTTATAGCACTTCTCCTACTGGTATAAATGCTAATTTATGGGGGGGGGGGGGGGGGGGGGGGGGGGGGGGGGGGGTGTATCGACCGAATCTCTAGATACATTGTACGGACCGTCCTCAGGACGAGTTAGTCTAGTATTTGGAGTTGAAGAACGAAGCTCAATAATGAAGATCAGCCCTTGAAATCTAACCACTTTTGTGTATTCTGTTGTTGTGGAACAAAGGACCTAGGGACAACGGGTAGAGGAAACCACTCGTAACATTCGTGATACCACAGACTTTTACCAATCATGATGTCTATCCACTGGAGAAAATAATGTTTGTATTACAGTCAAACCTGTCTTAGCGATCACCTGTCTATAACGACCACTTAAAATCCCCCTGTGAGATTTCATGTAGTTAATAGTCCGTGCACAACGACCACCTCCCTAACTTGTTCGCGCACTGGCTGGCCTGCGAGAGGCCTGGTGAGTGGGTGTACATTCATTTCTTTTAAATATTTTTTTAATATGCCTACAAATTAAAAAATCCTGGATAATTCCCCCCCCCCCCCAAGAATGTTAAATCATTTTGTATTTTTATTTTGACTATTTTTAAACACCAACAAAGAAACTTAAGTTATTAGATTTATTGATTGGCTAAAAACAATTTTGTATAAAATACTATGCTCAATTTTCTGCAACAAACAAGAATTATAATCATTTTAATAATCGCCGAACAAGGGAACAAAACAGAATACAATATATGCTAGGTATAATTACTTTGAAGGCAGTATGGTTCAATCCCTGGCAAAGACCCCTCTCCGTCTCGCAAGCCTCTTGAGCACAATGACATTGCTGAAGACAATCCAAACCAAAGGTTCTCCCTTCACACTCTGAAAAAATAAAACACAGTTCATGTTTATATTGGAGACATCTGGTCAACGATTATTATTGAATACTAAAGGCGAAGATAACTTTGGCTCGAGTCTACTTGTACGCATGAAGTTAACAATGGAACAAGCAGTTGGCACACACCCTTTTTCAGATTGTTAAACTTTCCCTCCATCAATGAAAACACTTTAAATGGAATACTTTGTCATGATATATTTTGGTTAATCCAAACAATGAATACGATATATTAAACAATATTTACGGCTAATTTTTTACCTCACTATTCAAACTATAATACATGTAAATGTAGCTCCTCAGTGTTCTCGAGATTGCACTATGTCCCTCGCTTTTGTCTCGGGGCATAGTATAGTTACAAGATCACGTTGTGCGAATAATCACCATAAATAACCATGCCCTTCAAAGAAGTCGATATTTGTCTACTAGAATCCCCCTCCAGAGTATACATTATAACAATGTATTAACTATCTCAGAACTATGTACATAATATATATATATAGTTTATATGACCATTGTACATACTCTACATGCACATGTATTTATGAGCGTTCATATGTGGTACATAAAACAAAATACCGGTATGTAAATTAGCACACTGTACCATTCATGTATGTATATGCTGTATATAGACGTGTGATAAATAGGAATTGATATGCAAAATTCAACACGCTTGATTGAAAAACAGAATCTTATAATTACCTTGACATATGACCTGGCCAGTACTGCGTACTTTGTAGCCTAGAGCACACTTCTGCTCAGGGCACTCTCCAGTCTGTTTCTCACATGGTTCATCATTCAAGCAATGACATTTATCAGTGCATTGAGATCCATAGTAACCGGCTTCACATTCATCTGGAACTGTGGATGATAAAAACAACATTTACAAACTCACAATTTAGCAGGCACCAGCAAATAATATTAGAAGAAGTCCACAACAATATGGTTGTTTCCATTACACAATTCTTTTCCTTGTAACTAGTTTGAATTTTTTCCTAGCACTACGTACCAACTTCAATTATGGCACATATTATTCCTGAATTTAACCGTGCCTTCACTAAATAAGTTCATGTATTTGTTGAATATGTCATCCATGAACATAAGGAAAATGGAATATATTGGACCGCAAAACATAGGATCTGGATATGTCTACAACAATAAATATAATAACTTCAAATGAAAACTACTGAGTTATGCAGTAGGGTTGCAGGAGCAATCCGGTTCATATAGGCATAGGTAAACAACAAATAACAGGAAGTTTATTACAAAGCTGCAGTGTACATGTAAACATTCTGATTTCTCTTATTTGGGGAGAGCATTTATGTCATATCATTTGTTATCATTGCTGACCATGACTTACTTTGACAACTGTCCCCAGACCAGCCAGTCTGACATCCACCTGTACATATTCCACTGTAGATGTTACATGATGAACCACCGCCTGCACAGTGACATGTCTGTGAACATCCTGGACCATATGTACCACTAGTACATTCTGTAAAGGAATTCAAAAATATATAATCAAGATGGACAGATACAATACATTCATCAGATGCAGAAAGGAAAATATTGTGCATGTTACGATAGCTTCTTTTTATTAATCTTCATCTCCTCCTCCTCCTTCTCCTTCTCTTCCCCCCCCCCCCACTTTTATTTTCTTCTTCTTCTTCTTCTCCTTCTTTTGTCCAATGAGTTGCCCCTGACCTCACTCATGAATCTAGCCACATTATGTTATGTGCTATATGAGGCCTAAATGTATATATTTTAATTATTAGAATTTGAGCACAATTAAATAACTTCGGAGGACTTACGTGTGTTACATCCAAGACCATGGGCACCGACGTCACATGAACATCCATAAGGATCAGGTAGGCAAAAAAGATACCCATGACATTTTGTGGCAGGATCATTGTTTCTAGTACATCGAAACTCGCAGTTCAATCCAAATCGATTTCCACCATCATTTCTACAAACTGAAGAAGAAAAAAAATAGTTGCATTGTTGAATCAAAACCTTGTAGACTTGTCTAAGAAATAAGATTTCATGAGATAAATTTCAAATATGGTTGCTTCTCCTTTGCAAATTGCCGATGGTGTCTTATTCTCTTTGAAAATAATAGTTTTTACTACATTGAATAAAGCCCTCCCATATCACGGATAGCAAAGTTTGTCGATCATACAAATTAATGTTATTGAGACATTTATTTAGATACTATTTATATATTTCATATGGTATTAAGGAATAACAACTAAAGCAAATCTTTTCCCCTGCTGTTTGTTATTTTCATTCATTTTTGCATTGATTCACTCGATGTACAGTGTATAAACATTACATGTATATGTAGAAAGAACCTCAGCTCTGGTAGAGAGGGACACTTTACAAAGTATTTACAAACTCATTTTACTGCTAATAAGACATAACATAGATAATATACTATAACAAATCAGAAATCAACTTGTTATAAACAGAATCATAAATGATAAATCAACATTATTCTTGCAAATAATTTCTGGTAAAATAAAGATTTACAAGTACATATATAAGAATGTCGTCAGGTAGAAGAAAGACATATTTGAAATTGAACATGTAGAATAGATGTACATTACCATTTTCTATGGAATAAGAAAAGAATATCTTCCTAAGTTCATTAAATAAATCGATACCGGTATCCGCCAGGCTCTGACGCTCGTGGTACTTTACACATATTACCCTGATTATAGCCGAGCTGCCAGGTAACTAGCGCTTATTAAGAGATAAACATCATTTAAAATTAAGCTCTACAGGCCTACTTACTTTCTAAACAATTCGGTCCCTTGAAGTTGTTAGGACAGATACATAGACCAGACTTGTCATCACAGACTCCACCATTGTAGCATTTATCACAGATACCATAACACTCAGGGGGACCCCACTTACCAGCAGCGCATTCTATTTGAGAAAGGGAGGGAGAAAAATAATTAAGTATACATGTCACTAAAGATTACATCATGACACGGAAGACAAAAGATAGAAGATAAGCAGGGTAATATAAAATGGAAGTAGACAAGTGCAAAGTTTGTTACAAAATAATGTTCTCGAACGTACAACTATTGAATATCGTATGCCATAGGCTCTGTCACATTCTGAATTTACATACGGGTAATTTTAAACTACCCATATATGTCAAAATCACAACACAGATCATGACATGCTGACACCTGAATTTTATCGTTGAATTTTCATAAATATTTTGGAACAAAATTTGCAATGGGGAAAGAGATGTCCATGTTACGATAACGCGACATCCGGAAAAGATCAGGCTTGGACATTATCTACTAGAATGCTCTAAAACTAATTGTTTTGTCAAGTGTTCAAATTTAAAAAAAAAAAATAATAATGAGTTGTCCACATGTAATTTGCATAAAAATCCAATGATTCTAAAATAAAGATTTATTGGCGAAATATGAAGCAGAGCCTTTTACATGCATCATAACAAACAATATTATATAAATAAGAAATGACCCCTCTCAAAATGCCCAGTCTGAATTAAGCAGAAATACACTTGTACATAATATACCTCTGACGATGAGTTTGTATAATCCTCCTCTATTTTGATCCCTCTCGTTATCATAGTAGATCTCATAGATTCCTTGGTCTGATGTCTGGATTGGGTTGGGAAGCTGATCTGAGTCTGCCCACCAAATGATGTAAGAACCTCACTTCCATCTTTCATCCAAGTAATCACGTTGCCATTCGCATCAGGATTATTACGACTAGTCATGCTGATCATCACTCCAGTTTCATTCACATTGACTGTCTTTGTAAACAATCCATCCCTTGATATGAATTTAGCTGTTAAAAGGGATGATAATAATAAATGAACCAAATAAAAAATGTAATAATAATAATACATGTAGCACCTACATGTACATGTAATGTGCACTGTAGCCATTTACTCCCTAAAGGAAACATACATTTATATAAGGCTTGCATTCATATACGTGCATATTGAAATATATATTTCAAAATATTCACTTGCATGTTGGAATAAATTTGTTCCTGTTGATATTTTTCAATAACAAGTTTAGATCGTTTTAAATATTCGAACATTGCCGCAACTAGTCTGGTGTATTTCAAAATCTTTGGACTTCTGTTTGACAATGTTAATGTTAGTAAACAACATCAACACAAATGGGCATGTTCAGGCTTAACGCAATACCGTGCATGCTTTGCTTATGATAAATTTTTGAAACTTTTGTGCTATTTACACAAAAGTCTAAAATCTCTTAAAAATAATCGTACTCTGGTATTTTCAGATTCATTCTCAGTATATATGTAAAGCATCAAACCTTTGTTATAGCCATTCTCAAGCAAACAATGTTCAAAAGCATCATAAGCGGAACTATTTTATTGAATCACTCTCACTCCTGATCCTCAGTAAAACGTTTTGCGGTATAGACGCTTCTTTGCAAAAAAAATCCACAGTACCTGTTTTTACATTTTTTGATCGTTCATTGTTGTAGAAAAAGAGTTTCTTACATTGTATTGTTAAGTTATATTCAAGACTTGGAATTTTACTACTGCAAATGCGATTTCTGTCCTTAACCTGTCCTGAACCAAGATGTAAAAGTAGAGGGAAAAAACCTTAGATATGATCTTTAGATTTTTCTTTCAATACTTAACAATAACAAAAATGTAAATTATGTAGATGTGTGACCATGATTTGTACGTTCCCTGGTAAACCAAAGCCAGGAATGGTTCGAGGAAATAGTGACATGAACAGCCTGCCATAGTTCAAGTACAATCTATATCGATCATAGTCTTTGTGAAACACTCCCCGAGAGTGTAGTTTTTTTTAAACGCCTGCCAAGATTGCACAAATTTGTTGCAGTGTAAATGCAACATTCGGTAAGATCCCCATTATCGCTCACATGACTCTCCTCGCTTCCGTGGTAACGCATGAAGAGCGCCGACAAGTCACACGTGCGCACTACTCACAAACAAAATCGGTATGATCAAAATTCAACGGGTTTGTTACAGGTTTTTTTTTTCCAGTAGTGTAAATAGTAGTCATAAAAATTGATGATTCTTCAAATTGGTGTTTGGGAAACATGTTTAAATGGGCCTATGGTAATGCATTGTTTTTAAATGAAGATCACTACGTGATGTTCCATGCAGTGGCGGATCCAGGGGGGGCACAGGGGGCACGTGCCCCCCCCCCCCCCCCCCCTCCGGCCAAAAAAAAAGAAAAGGAGAAAAAGGAGGGGGAAAGAAAAGGGAGAGGAAAAAGAAAAAAAAGGGAAGAGAGAAAGAAGAAGAAAAGAGGGGGAAAGAAAAGGGGAGAGGAAAAAAGGAGGGGAAAGGGAAAGACAGAGAGGAGAGAAAAGGCGGAAAAAGAAGAAACGCGGAAAGACGGAGGAGAGAAAAGGGGGAAAAGGAGAATAATGAGAAGGGAAAAGAAAGAAAGGGGGATGATATTATAAGAAGGTTTTTTTTACCGGGGTAGGGGCGGGGGGGGGGGGGGATGCAATTTTAAGTCGAACATGACTAATACCAAAGATTTTATCTCCTTTATAACTTATAGCTTATAACTTAGTCTTGAATTAATTTTCCGATATACCTATTCTAAGTGTTCTTTCAGCATGCAGATTGTCCCCGCCATTAATCCTGCCACAGTTGCTGGTTTCATTGTCATATTATTTTCTGTCATCCCTGTGGCCGCGAAATTTCTATCCGTTTCGCAAGCACTTTTTTTCCATCGCCTACATGTAATGTTTATTGCTTCCAGTTTGCAAAAGATCCCAGTGGCGGATCTGTAGGGGATGGGGGAGGGGTTGGGGTTTAACCCCCCCCCCCCTTGGGCTGCCAAGTGAAAATGTGATGTGAATAGAAAAACGCATGTGTCCAGACCCACACAGTATCCGTATCGTCATCGGGTGAAACCCCCTTAAACTGTTACTTGATTTAAAAAGACGTTATCATGAACTGCTGTTTATGGTCTCTATTGTGTTAGTAGATGCCAGGAAAATATCACTTACGGGGGTTCAAAATAGCCCCCCAAAAATCGCCTCGCCGCTATGCGGCTCGGACTTTGAGGCTCGTGGACAATGCTCTACATCGTCATTGGGTCGAACCCCCTCAAACTGTTACTTGATTTAAAAATACATTATCATGCACGGCTGTTTATGGTCTCCATTGTGTTTGTAGATGCCAGGAAAACATCACTTACGGGGTTCAAAATAGCCCCCCCCCCAAAAAAAAAAAAAAAAAAAAAAAAAAAAATCGCCTCGCCGCTACGCGGCTCGGACCTTGCGGCTCGTGGACGATGCTCCGCATCGTCTCTCAAACTGTTACTTGATTGAAAAAGACGTTATCATGAACTGCTGTTTATGGTCTCCATTGTGTTAGTAGATGCCAGGAAAATATCACTTACGGGGTTTCAAAATAGCCCCCCCCCAAAAAAAAAAAAAAAAAAAAAAAAAAAAAAAAAAAAATCGGCGGCTCGTGGACGCATCGTCATGGGTCGAACCCCCGTTAAACTGTTATTTGATTTAAAAAGGCGTTATCATGCACTGCTTTTTATGGTCTCCATTGTGTCAGTATATAGATGCCAGGAAAACATTACTGACGGGGGTTTAAAATAGCACCCCCCAAAATCGCCTCGCCGCTACACGGCTCGTGGACAATGCTCTGCATCGTCTTTGGGTCGACCCCTCTTAAACTGTTACTTGATTTAAAAAGACGTTATCGTGCACTGCTTTTGATGTGAATAGAAAAACGCATGTGTCCAGACCCACACAGTATCCGTATCGTCATCGGGTCGAACCCCCTTAAACTGTCACTTGATTTAAAAAGACGTTATCGTGCACTGCTTTTTATGGTCTCCATTGTGTTAGTAGATGCCAGGAAAATATCACTTACGGGGGTTCAAAATAGCCCCCCAAAAATCCAAAAATCCATAAGGTCTACGCGGCTCGGACTTTGAGGTGCGTGGACGATGCTCTGCATCGTCATTGGGTCGAACCCCCTCTAACTGTAACTTGATTTAAAAATACATTATCATGCACTGCTATTTATGGTCTCCATTGTGTTTGTAGATGCTAGGAAAACATCACTTACGGGGTTCAAAATAGCCCCCCCCCCCCTAAAAAAAAAAAAAAAAAAAAAAAAAAAAATCGCCTCGCCGCTACGCGGCTCGGACCTTGCGGCTCGTGGACGATGCTCCGTATTAAAAATACATTATCATGCACTGCTATTTATGGTCTCCATTGTGTTAGTAGATGCCAGGAAAATATCACTTACGGGGTTTCAAAATAGCCCCACCCCCCAAAAAAAAAATAATTAAAAAAAATCGGCGGCTCGTGGACGCATCGTCATGGGTCGAACCCCCGTTAAACTGTTATTTGATTTAAAAAGGCGTTATCATGCACTGCTTTTTATGGTCTCCATTGTGTCAGTATATAGATGCCAGGAAAACATCACTGACGGGGGTTTAAAATAGCACCCCAAAAAATCGCCTCGCCGCTACACGGCTCGTGGACAATGCTCTGCATCGTCTTTGGGTCGACCCCTCTTAAACTGTTGCTTGATTTAAAAAGACGTAATTATCATGCACTGCTTTTTATTGCCATTGTGTCAGAAGATGTCAGGAAAACATCACTTACGGGGTTCCAAAATAGCAACAACAACAAAATAGCGTCGTCGCTTCGCGGCTCGTGGACGATGCTCCGTGGCGTCATTGGGTCAACCCCCCCCCCCCTTAGCAAAAAGCCAGATCCCATCATCCGCTCCTGGATCCCTACTCTTTGAGGGGGTAGGAAAAAGCAATTTTACATCATATTACTCCAGGAAGTGCCTGAAAATGCACCTAATGTGGTTATAAAATTGCAAATGCTTCCTACTCAGGGAGGGGTTCTGACCCCCTCCCAGACCCACCCCCGCTTGGTCGCTCCGCTCCCTCGCCGCTGACGCCTCGCTCCATCGTTTTTCATATACTTCACCCCATGCGATTTTGTGCCCCCCGACCACTGCCATGAGTAATAATATGACGGTGTTCATGATTGAAAAAACTTGATATATCTTTGTATTAAAGGAATAGTTGAGTTCTGTTTTCAGACCGCAAATGCCTTCAAAGTGCATTGTTATTGCTCTTATTCTTATCTATGACATTTCTAGTGCCCTTTTAGAACCTAAAATTGCTATGAAGGTAATTTTAGACCCCAAAATGTGTGAAATTTAGCCAATACGAGTATACAAATTCAGCTCAACTTTCAAAAAAACATGGTGACCGTTAAATAATTTTTAAATCAAAAAATAACAATACATGGACCGGCTGGTTGTGCGTAATATAAGCAACACGAAAATGCCACCAAAAGCCAATATCGGCATTGGCTGAAATACGACGTAAAAGGCGTCATTTCGTTTTTTCAACGTTTTTTTTCAAATTTTTCAAAATACCTAATATTTGTGGTGGTACACAAGTATTAGAAATCGTTATATTTCAGCCGTCTCTACACCGATTTTGATCAAACAAAGATGATTTTGTCATTTAAATATTATGTTCTTTCAAATCTGCCACTCAGTTTTTCATTATCTCACAAAAAAATTATTTTGTGTAGCGCCCTTTGCAACAGAACTCAACTATTCCTTTAAGGAGGTTCCTCTAATATTTGAGGAATCTCCAAAATGCAATATAAGCTCAGTCTATATTGTTAAAGATAAATAATGGTTATTTGATAAACAAACATCATTATAACAAAGCCGCATTGCGAAGATCTTAGAAATAATAAACTAATAATTAACGAATAATATTTCAATTTTTCTCGCATAATAAAATATGATATTCGATTCTCTATTCGACAATATGTATAGATCTGGTATACAAATTGGAATTAATTGGGATTAATTTTGATTATTTCATCCTATTTACAAAGTGTTATATATGTTCTTACTGATCTGTCGGGAATATGCTCAGAACTTCACTTGGACTACTTTACATCAGTACAGGAAGCTTCTATAGTATACATTGAAGAAAAAATCTTTAAAAATAAAGAAATCCTATGCTTATTATAATAAATGGAATATTAAACTTACCATCAACTCGTTGGAAAAATGTAGTAACCCTTGTAACATCTCGATCAGGTTTAGAAGCCTCACAGTAGAAAGGACCGTAACCATCACTATCCCATCCATCTCCTGTAGGGAATTTGACCACTCTGACGAAGTAATGTTTAGAGTGTCTCTCATCTTCTGGTGGTGATCTGTCTGTTGTTATGGGTGCTGATCGACCAAATGATCGTGTAGCGTCTGTATCTGGGTCACTGCCCCAACATTGGTACTGCAAACCGCTCGATGAACCTACATTGGTGTATCCCACGGTCAGCACTGTGATATGAACAACCTCACCTGGAATACCAAGAGTGATTTTTTTTTTTATAAACAGTATAAGCCTATACTAATTTTCTTTTCTCATATGCATTTTGGACTTTAAATGTAATACAAAGTTTTGGGAAATTTTGAAAATTGGGTGGATAGTGATTCTTTATAATTTTTATATATTTGGATGACCCTGTTGATGTATAATAAGCACAAGAAAATTTAGTCCCTAAAACACTTTTGCTTTTGAGACAAATTAAATATAAAAATTTACCGGTGCTCCCGGTAAATTTTGATAAATTTCAAACAGCGCCTACGGCCGTACAATGGTAGCTGCGACCATGAAAATTTCAGAATATGTAGTTGTGATATATAATTTCCAAACGGGAATAGCTAATCGGTCGATTTTAGTCAAGAAACATTGTTTTATAGCTCAATTAATATCTTGACCTTGAGAGGGAGCTATACAACATAAAGACTTAATTAATTAATTTAATAACTTTAGACTCGATTTCAACCGCGATAACGAGCAATGAATATTGTAGGATCACATATGCTTCCAGTATGTTAATTTTAAACAAATTCATGACCCCATACCAAAACTTTGTATTACCTTTAAACCATATAATAACTAATATATGTACTACACCACAATATGTCCCTCAATTTATAACACAACTGTAGAATGATCAACATGTAAATCAATCGATGGGTCGATTGAATAGCATGGGCCGGGGGGTTAAGCCCATTTTCGGAAAATTAATGTTCCAATAACGAACTGGAAATTTTATATTAACAATATTTCAAATTTTATAACCCATGCACATATCCACCACGCAAATGTAAGTGCTCCATGCGCTCGTGAATACCACAGCTAGGCTACCGATTTCGGTGCTCACAGTATTCAAGAAATTCCTATTAACTAGTACCCATTTAACTCTTTGGAGAAGAGTGACAAATTTATATCATATAAAGTTTGATTATTTTTTACAACTCTTCAGTTATTCTATCTATTGATTTTCAACGGAAATTAAATATTAGTGCAGGCATCGTTTAGCCCTCTCGCGGAAAAAAGTTGTTCATACGCATATGTTCATAGGCCTGTACAGGGGAGGGGGTACAACCAAAAAGGGCACCTACAAAGGGAAATCTCAAAGCTAAAATACCCCAATGTTGTCATTACATTATCGGGAATGAATTCAATATTTGTTTCTCTTTACACATCATACAAATCACTTAAGCATCTTACTTTGCAATTTGGTGTGATGATCATATTCATTTGCAAGCGAGTGGGGAACTCTTGTAAGATTTGTGAGGTCGCAGCGCAAACAAAATTCATGTTATAAAGAGGGGGACAAAAATCATTATAGGGTTATAAGCACATTTCATAATCGAAGACTCAAAACACCTTGGATAAGTAACATCATTATCTAATTTATAACAGTATATTGCTAGCGAGCGAGCTTTGGGGGAAAATGCTCTCAGTCGCTTTAAATTAGGGGCAAGTTTAATGATGAGAGGAAAGAGGGACACTTATCGAAAGGAATAATACACTTTTTAGAAAAGAAAAGGAGCATGTGTCAAAATACAAAGGGTAATTATCAGAGGTGACAATGAGGCACTTCTAATACCTGAAAGGGGCACTCACCAGGGATGAAAAAAAAAGGCACCTCTGATAATGGGAAATGGGAATTTGTCGACGAAAAAAAGTGCACACATCAGGTTTTTATATGTGCATTTATAAGAAGCAAAAGGGGGCATTTCTAACAAGGGGATAGGTCCCTTATTAGAAAGGAAAATAGGGACATATCATTGTTAAAAGAGAAATTATCAGAGGTGAAAAGGGGCACTGACCAGATATTTAAAGGGGCACTTATGAGAATGCAAAAGGGGCACTTGTATTAAAGGAAAATGTGCATTTGTTGAAAAAAAAAACGGAATTTATAGGAGGTTAAGGGGATCTTTTATGAGAAAAGGGAAGTGGCTCTTATCAAATAGAGGTGTCGTGGTCGAGTGGATATGTCAACGGACTGTGGATCACAAGGTCCGCGGTTCAAGTCCCACCGCGGCACTACTGTCCTTTGGCAAGACATTGATTTATATTTACCACTCTCCACCCCGGTGTTAAATGGGTACCCGGTAGGATGCGAAAGCTAATGTGGTTCGATTAGCAATGGCGCTTGTAAAATGGCGACTGGCTGGAATGCTCCCCAGGGAGTGGAGAATGTGCTTACCTTGTGTGCGGGTAGGTATAAATCCGATGACCGGCGTAATAATACATATCTGTAAAGCGCATTGAGAGGGCCTGCGGTCCTTAAATGCGCTATATAAGGACGAACTACTGTTATTATAATAATAGAAAAAGAAAAAGGTCTGAATGTTTTGTGGGCCACGCAAACTTTGATCGTATAGGGTCACAATAGTACAAGCCTTTAATTGTTTAACTTATTACCCAGAAATGAGTGGGGTTTGCATTCAAGGGCTATCATCTCTCTCTCACTGTCCGAAAAGAACGATATAGTAATATGATTCTAACAATCAAAATTCTAAGGAGGTTAGCAACTACTGATCATGAAGATCTTTTGTATTTTGCATATTTGAATACTACAGAGCTTTTTCAGGTATTTCGCAACGACTCAGCAAGCCGCTGAATAAGCGGGGGGGGGGGGGGGGGGGGGGGGGGGGGGGGGGGAGGACCCTTTTTTCTTTTTTTTTTGGTCCCAAAAAAAAAAATCGCAACGACTCAGCCGACCGCTGAATAAGCGGTGGGGGGGGGGGGGTAAGGTCACTTTTTTGGGTCAGCCATGGGAATATATATATATATTTCTTTTTTAATAATTAAACAAACACAAAACAAACTAAGGGGGGTTAAGGGGGGTTATGGGGGGGGGGGGTTACACACAAGAAAATACCAAAGGGGGGGGGGTTAACCCCCCCCCCCCCACTGTGTACGCGCCTGATCCCAAGTACTTGAGTTTGAGAATGTGAACGATAGATAATAGTCGCACGCAAATTTAAATGAGATAATACGGAACTAGGTTTTAGCAACCCTACATATATTTTTTCTCAATGGCCATTTTGAGCGAAATCCTTTGAAATTTCGATATAGAGCAACGAGAAGTAATGTTTCCAAATCCATGACTTCGGGGAGCGGGACCTAAGATTCTTTAGCTTAAAGATAAAGACCGGTAGTGGTACAATTGCGGTTCAAGGGTTTTTGGTGCAAAATGTCCATTCAATAATGTTTAAATATTGCCTTCAGAGGTTAAGATGGCGATAATTCAACCTAATTTGGCAAAAATAGAAAAATATGCCCAAATGTTCAATGTTGAAGTGCATTCGCGATACCTATCCAGGCCGGATCGATATGATAATTTACCAAATATATCAATTAGTTGGCGGTACCCAGCAACATTTGTATCATCACGTATTAGTCAAAACATATTCTTTCACATGATTGGTGATACGAGCTTCTATTTTAGTTTTTGAGAGTGGGGGGGGGGGGGGGATCCAAAACTGGTCTATACCTTTAACTAAAATAATTGTAAACAAAAAATATTCTGCTTTAAAAAAAAAAGGTACGGTATTGCATATAAATCGGGCGCTTTTGATAGTTCTAATTCAACATTTCGAGGCCACAATTCAAAGTTTCAGCAAAATGAACAGCGCTAGTTTTTAAAGCGTCAAAATCTGAACCTTTATGCATGTGGGCATTTTAAACATTCCCTACATAAGATGGATGGGATAGAGATAGTTTCGGTCCGTTCTAATGTGAGTCTTGTAAATCTGATCGAGATGTTACAAGGGTTACTACATTTGCACATATCATCGCTTGGGGATAATCTGTAATATTAGAATAACTATTTTTGCAGGAGAGGTGAACTATTATGACTAAAAGCATATAAAATAGATTTACATGCTATAGGGATAAACAAAAGTGGGAGTCTTGTGGAAAATCAATTCAGACAGGCCATTTTCCCGATTCAAGACACATACGATTCAAGGGGTATGGCGAAGGGTCGATACGTTGGTCAATCCTAATAATGTAACTAGTGGTATAGTGCAGCATGTGTAGCACTACAGAATTCTTACTTTGCACATTAAAGCTCAGAAGTTTATTTTTAACAACTCGGAGGTGTTATGGGCGCAGGACCATAGAAGACAACTAGCTGGGTAATCCAGCACCAACGAAATTTGAAGTCAAAACGCATTTTCTAACCTTGTAAATCTTTTTTTGGTCTATACATAAGTTAGTATGGGATGACAGACTATCTGTTTCAGATGTTGCATTATGTCATGTGTGAATTGAAGTTTTCACGATATCTATTGAACAAAAATACTTTTGTATATAATTTCCATATGTTTACTGGGTATATAAGATAAAGCCAGATAAACATTCAAATGAGATATGTATGTTATTACCATCGATGAAAAACTCATACTAGGGACTTTTAGATTTGCACAACAACAACGAGGATTGCTACGATCGACGTCCTTTGAATGCACTGCCTTGAATGGACGTCACACGTATCAGTCCACGCAAATCTAAAAGTCCCTAATATTAAGTACATATATGTAACTAATGTTTGATACAATTTCAGGTTCCAAATTCTTTAATATGAGGGTTAGTTTACGCAAATGAATTAGCAGGGTAAGAACTGGGGTGACAGACTTCAAAGCCACAGGGCTACCCATGGAAGATGTTCTTCTGTTCTACGTACATGAGAGTCTAGTTGAGCAGTCTAGTTCATCAAATGAACAAGCAAGTCAACTCATATCCTGCCATGAGACTGCTAGCGCGCTATTGTTATAGTTCTCTGTGCACGCGAGCGCGCTATCGATTGATTGCTACGTTCATGCTAGCGAGCCACCGCTACTCTGCTTTGTGCACGCTAGCAAGCATATGTAATAACAGTAATTGTTCATGCCCATTGCACCATGCTGAGTGCTTTTACAGCCCTATTGAAAGTACCATCGCGTGCATCAGATTATCGGCTTTGAATTACGCGTCTTTGTATACAACAGTCAGA